TGGAACTATATTTATGCATGTATGCTATACATTTTGGTGAATGAATAATATAATTTAAATACATTCTAAATCACTACTATCCAAATGCATTTCTTATGCTTGAAAAACTGACAGCAGAGCAATGATTTTGTTCTGATGAACAATTTTATGTTGTTTGCACTTCATTTTTTAAAATATGAATTCCCTTGTGTCATGCCTTATATTTTTTATATCCAAATATGTGTGTACATTTCACCCAGTGACAACCACTTTATCTAGTTACATATTTTAATTTATATACATATATATATATATATATATATATATATATATATATATATATATATATAACATTGACTTCAGAGAGGAAGAAAGAGAGAGAGAGAGAAATGAAAATATCAATGATGAGAGAGAATCATTGATCCACTGCCTCCTGCATGCCTCCTACCAGGGATCAAGCCCACAACCCAGGTATTTCCTTGACCAGAATCAAACTGTGACCTCCTGGTTCATAGGGTGATGCTCAACCACTGAGTCATACTGATTAGGCCTTAGTTACATTTTATGAGTAAAAATTAAGATTTAGTTTCAGATCTAAGGTGCTATTCTTAAGATTAAAAGCTTATTATAATTTTCTTTTTTCATTGTGTACTTGTTTTGAAAATAGCAACAAATCCATCAAGCTAAGCTTATAGTGATAACAACTTCTAGGGTACCAGAAAGAAAATACAGGGAGCATCAAATCATTAATAATGTACTTTCTTAATTGCGATGTATTCAGAGAATATTGTTAAATAGGAATTGAAAGTATGAAGAAACAAAATGGTAGCTATTTTAAAAAATACTATCACTTGACATTGCTGCCTGCTAGTTCTTTGTTAGATGAAGCATATAAATCATAAATAAACATTTCTTTCTTAAATCTTAATGTAGAAAGAGAGAATCACATTGATAATATGAAAGAGAATTGTGAGACTTTACCTAGAGGCTGAATTGAATGCATTTATACAGAAATATGCCAAGTCATTGACAGTCGTCTGCAGGATCTGTTCATTACGTAAGCACTGGCTCTGATTCTTTCCTTTGAGGCCGACAATGTGAATATGGGCCTTGTGGGGCTAGTAATCCTTGTGAGAATGGAGCCAGGTGCAGAGAGAAAATGGATCTGGAAATGTTTCCCCGTGGGTACCAGTGCCAGTGCGGGAAAGGCTGTGCTGGTCCACCCTGTGAGATCAATGTCAACCAATGCAGCTCCAGCCCGTGCCTGGACGGATATCGCTGTGACAGCGCGTTCACTCAGCCACAGCCATCCTCGTAGTGCAGTGCGACTTAGAATCTGGCAAAGTAATGAAATAGCTGAGGATGAAACCAGTGTTAGTTGCTGACTTTACCCTGCCTTGAATAGCAAAGTCAATGCCAATTATTTTCACAGAACATTCCCACCTCTGACAAATTCATTTATATTTTGTGAGTCATGCAGTAGCAAATGAAAAATGTTAATGAAATGTGACTTCTGTGGTCAGATATCAGAATTAACCTTTTTTTCACCTTTTTTAAATGGTAGATTGTTAAAGAGTTTATCTGTAGGTAGAGAAAAAAGCAGATTACAATGATTTAAAATAACTCATTATTTTAGCCCATCTATTATGCAAACACACTTCTTCTTACTGAGATATATGTTCCTGAAAAATATAAATTTATAGAGAAATAAAAGAAGGAGGCAAAAGGAAAAGAAGAGAAAATAAAAGGAAGGTAAGAGAAAAAGAGGAGGAGGGAAGAGAAAGCTGAATATTGGATAATGGATTTTATTTTTTTAGACACAGGAAATACAGGGCATGAAATAGCCCTGTGCCCTGGGTATGGTTAAGAGGATTAAGAGATATGGAGTAGGGAAAAGGAGATAGGAAGAGAGAGAGAGAGAGAGATGCAGGGGGGGAAAAAACACCTCTGTGCATCTTATTTAGCTTTATTTTACCTCCTTTCAAATGTATTTCTACATAATCTTTCAGTAAATAGATAAATTGTTAAAATAATGTGATGTGTGAAAAAGCACATTGTGCTAGCAAGTCATTTGGAAAGTCTGTCATTTAACCAAAATTATGCATTCTTTTATTTAAACCAATGTTTACCAATGCATGTCCTTAAAGAACATAATAGGATTTTTTTACATTGGATGAAACAGCCCAGGTATCAAACAATAGGTAGTGTGTATGTATGTGTGTATGGAGGGGCGGGCAGGTGGAAGGACTAGCAAGCTGGAATTTCTACATAGATATTAAAATGGAATATTTTTTTCTAATACTGTGCTACCTGAGCAAAGCATAATTTTATGCTCTGGGCCATTTGTTTGTTACTGTTAATTTGAACCAACTTCCCCCCCCTCCCCCAGAATTCAGCACTTTAAATATTGTGCTTTTAAATTTGTAAAATTCTCAAATTACTTTGAAATAAGTCACAGTTATCTTATTTCTGAGCTTAAACCCACAAATGTTTGGTGATGCTGGTGCTCACTATAAAATAAGGAAACAAAAAGTATGCCTAAGGGAGAGGTTAGCAACGCTTTTAGATCTAGGCAGCCCTAGTATAATAGTTATATATGAACACTTCAGATGTATTCTGCGTGAAGGAGGTTTATATACAGGTGTGGGCAAAAGTAGCTTTACATTAGTTCGTATGAAAATAATATAATAGTTAATAAATAATACAATAATTAATAAATAATAATATAAGAATAAACTGTTTCATGCACTCATAACTGTAAAATCTACTTTTATTAGGTCCCCGTACATATTACAATTCATAATTCTTTATGTGATAAGAAAATACAATTTCCAAATATGCTACATAATAGTGAAGTGCTCCCTAGTATATGTTTGAAATTCATACATAATATATCATGGAAAATGTGAATTCTGGAGACCTGAAATATTGTTGTATTTCATAATATGATTGTTCACAGTATATTTTGGACCAAACCCAAGGAAATTAGCTGCAATAGAACCAAAATATGTATTAAAAATTCATTTATTCATGTAACCTGATAGCATAAATCTAAGGCACTGTATTGTTAATACTTCCTCAAAAATAAAATAGTTCGGGAGGCCAAACTTTCTGATTTCAAGTTAATAGTATTTATTACATGACAGTATATAAGAAACATTTATTCATATGTATATTGACTTTGTAAATTTCAGACATGGTATGGTTTTTCAGAAGATTTGTTAAAATACTTACCTCTGTATTTTCAACACAGTTTTATCATGTCAGGAACTTTGAATCAGTTCATATAATGGATTATGTGTAATGTATAATTAAGTAGAAAATGAATAATGTAATAATAATGACTTATAGATGGCTTATCTGATGAAAATTAAAATTAGTAGCATGGGGTAAACAAAGACTACTATTAACATAGTGATTATATTTTCTGATAAAGACAACAGGAAAATAAGGCAATATGCTTTAATAATATGTTCTAATAGATTTGAAAAAAAACAGTGTTTTTGTTTGTTTTAAATTTTAAACAAAGTTATGGTTGTTTGTTTGCTTGTTTATTTTCTTTATGGTAATAAGATCAAATCCTCAGGGTCTTATTTGGAACATAGTTTATTTCTTAGCTTCTTAGCTCATAAGGTTTAATATTAAAAAAGCATATTTGTTGATAATAAAAACACGCTTTATTTTTTTAGAAACCAATCTCTGTCTTTCAGACCATTTGTTAATTCAAAGTTATTGTTTGTTGTCATTTATTTTAAAGTAATTCATCATTTATCTACATAGAGAATGTCTATATCTGCACTAAGATTTCATTTGACTCTGGTTATTTGTTATGTGTCAGTTTGCATCAATATATGAACTTGAACTATAGTCATAAACCCTTTTTAAAATATTATTATGAGTGATGTGGTTCCATAATGTCTTCATGACATATTGTATAACACTTGGTTTTAATTTGTTGTCATACATAATACCTTTGTAACATATAAAGATGCGCCAAATAACTGTTATCTCATTAATTTATGTACAACTATATATGCATATCAATTGATCATTTATATTAAATGAGACATTGAAAACTAGGATGCTGGGTGAAAAAAGTAAAGTAAGACAGAAATAAAATTCTGTCTAAAGAGCTGCCATATTTTGTGTCCCCCGTCTCTTGTTGAGGGCTGTCGGCTGGCTTGTTCTCCTTAGGGGACCCAGTTACATGTTCTACACAGTAGGATGGCTGCAGAAATCTAGAAACCAGCCAAGTACCTCACATTACACTAAAAATGCTTTTGCCAGCCAGGATCTAAGCATTTAATGAGAGTAATAGCAGGTACTTACACAGAGGCAGTGTCAGTGGAGAATATGTGGTAAGTCTCAGGGATAATGAGGAACCCAGGGATTTATAGAAGCAGCTATAAATCCTCGCTTACTCCAACTGCAATTCATGATGTCGCCATTTCCTTGAGACAGTTTTTTCCACCATTAATGATAAAATAGAGACCATGTTCTGATCATGACTTTTAAAAGATTATGATGAAATGTGAAAGCTCTTTTGAACAAAGGCTTAGATAGTTCAAAATCAACTTTCAGATCTCTGTGCACTTTTATGTACCTTGTTGTACCAAGAACTATGATAAGCAGTTAACTTCTGGTTTATTAAACCTAAGACAATCTGAGAAAAGTTAATTGATACAAAACTAACCTGTTGACCACAGGTATTCTTACTGACAAAACAAGAAAGAAACTAAACTGGATATTTCCATTGTTACTTTGCAAATCACCACCAAATGTTTATTATTCTTATTTGTGATTATTCTTATTTTAAATAATTTAAGTTAAATAGAACTGAGCTATAATGTTTTTTAGAAAATATTGCAGAGAACTATGTAGAGTATTACATATAAGAATTCACAATTTGGGGTTAAAAGTGAAACACATTTAGATGAGCACAACATTCTTTAGAGCATTTAGTATTACCTACACGGTGATGAAAGGAATGTAATGAGTTTTCTGTCTTCTGCTGTTTTCAGTGGTTGCTGGCTTCTGCTTCTGCAACCCTGGATACCAGGGCCTGAGGTGTGAGCAGAACATTGTTGACTGCATCCTGAATGCCCATGAGCACAACTCTACCTGCAAAGATCTGCATCTCGTTAGTATCCATGAATATTATTGATATATTTTATTACGTGGTCGCATCAATTAACCCTACATATATAGTTAACTTTGGCCTCTGGGGCATGTTGGTACATATGAGTATTTATTAAGATTTGAAAACAGAAACTCGAGCAATTTTTGTATTCACTCAACGGTAGTAAAAAAATGATCTAGTCACCACTATATGCAGTTTGATGTGATATTACAAAACAAACCGCTCACTCTGCTCTCACAATTCTTGGTGATACTGAATTTGTGCAAAATTTCAGAAATTATTCTGAAGAGTGCTGTTAGCCTCATAGGTACCTACTTTTACCTAACTCAAGGTATTGTATACACACACATAATACGTAGGCTTGAATTTTATTTTGATTTTCACCTGGCGTTGTATACTTCCATCATTTTCTGCCTTCTCCTGTGTCAGGGCTGCCCCTTCAGTACATATCCATTTGTCACAGCCTTTGTCAGAAGCATGTGCCATTCGGCCTTAAACGAACTGACACAGTTGGCAAATCAATGGGATCCCCTCTGGCTGGTCATTTTTCAGAAAGCCTGACATAAAAACATCTACTCAAGGTGGATTCACTCACTGGCTTCAGAGAATAAATGACAGACAGCATAGGTTAATGCTGCAATAGTGGTATAGGCTTACGGTTTATTCCTTAGCAACAGAGCTGATTTTCACAAAAGGACCACACTAGCCGAGCTTAGGGGAAAAAATGCTTTGAAGAACAGACTTGTTTTCAGACCACCAGTATACCTATACCGACATTGTTTGTTTTTACAATGAGAGGATCATTTGCGGCAAATTGTGTCTTTCCCATAAGGAATGCAGCCGCCTAAATGAAGAGTTATAACTAGTGTATGGGGCTGTGTCCAGAAACAGGATGGTCCATCAGCTATCCAACCACCCTTGAGGTTTGTGTAGTGGCCCTGATGCTATGTCTTAATTCATGCCAGATGCTTCGTGTAAGGTGGCTGTGCTAATCTCATCCACTTGCAAGGATTCCTGTAGGAATGGGCATGGGACCTGATGCTGGTTTCTGTGTTAAGAGTGAAGTTCTTTCTGGGGAAAGCAAAAAAAATTAAGTTAAAGGTAGTGACCTGTCCTAGACCTTCAAACATCTGGAATTACACATATAATTGATGCTACCATTGTCAGAGCCCAAGAATGGGAGTGAGGTGCTGCTTAATAATGAGTGACTCTGAAGGTAGCAGAGCCAAGAAGGAGAAGAAACCTGACTTGATCAATTGTTGAACTGATGAAGCCCCTCCCCACACCAGGTGCCTACCCAACCTCCGAATCTAATTATGAGATCACTTATGTCCTATTTTTAAATATGGCTTGAATTAGAGTCCCTTTTACTTGCAGGTAAATCATCTAATTTCCATAATGTGATTAAACTTTATTTTAGTCTATGCTTTCAGCTATAACTTCAGCAATAATAGGAGTTTATTATAGTAAAAAGAGCTTTATGCCCATAATCATAATATTCAACTTCTAGTCCTGACCTTGCCATGACTTCTCTTTGTGACACTATGCCAATCATTTGAAAAGTCAGGGACTGCAACTTTAGAAACTGTATTGTACCAAATAATAAAGCTTCCAAGTACAGCATCCTCTCATTTATACATTTTATAAATTGGCAGTAAGAAGTTATTCAGACTAGCTTGGACTAGTATTAGTTTGCAATCTTGCTTCATTGTATAACTAGAGGCCCAGTGCACAAAATTTGTGCACTTCTAGGGTCCCTAGCAGCCTCCGGCTGCTGGCCAGGTAATCCCTCCTTTCCTCCGGCTGGCCCTGCCCCCTTGTCAAACTCCCGGATGACCTCCTGATTGAGGGGACAATTTGCATACTATGCTTTTATTATATAGGTTAATAATTTAAAAAATAAGAATTAAAAAATGGTAGAACTCATAGAAACAGAATATAGATCGGCAGTTACCAGCAGCTGGGGTTTGGGGGGAATAGGGAGATGCTGATCAAAAGGTACAGGCCTTCAGTTATAAGATGAATAACTTCCGGGAATCTAATGTATCATACAGTAACTATACTTAATAATAGTCTATTGTATACTTGAAATTTGCTAAGAGAGTAGATGTTAAGTATTCTCATGAAACACACAAAATAATTATGTGAGATGATTGGTATATTAATTAAACTTATTAATTCTTAATTATTTAATTAAATCATTTAATAATGTATATATATATATATGAAATCATCACTCTGAACACTTTGTCAATTATACCTCCATAAAGCTGGGGTACAAAGAATAAAGAAACAAATCAGAAAGCAGCAGGGTTGAAAATGAAATAAAATCCTCTAAATAGTGTTTACCAACTAGACTGTTATATTTTGATTAAATTGATTAATGAAATTACATAATTCTAACCATAATTCATATATCAATTAGAAGACAAAATGTTATTATTGATTTGATAATATTCTTCCAAGAGGAGATGTGATGGGAACAATAGATTGTTTAAATTTTTTTAAATGTTCAAAGGATTTGATAGCTTTTAGATACTGTATCTGAGGCTCAAACATGACCTTGAGATTTGATGATTGACGAGGAGTCAGAATACTCATGGTTAGGGTTTATTACAGTGAAAAGTTATAGATTAAAGGTAGCAAAAGGAAAGACGTACATGGCGAAGCCATGGAGAAAGCAGGCACAGGCTTCAGGTGCCTTCTCCTAGAGGACATGTTTGTGAAGCACTTTCCTCTCTCAGACATGATGTGTGACAAGCCCACTGAGGTGTTGCCAATCAGGAAACTCACTGAAGCCCTAATGCCCAGGGTGTTTATCCGGGTCATTCACAAGGCACAGATTTTAGCTAATCCGGCTTCAGCTCCTGCAGCGTTCCAATGGATACAACATAGTCCAAAGCCCAGGTTTAAAAGCAAGTTTTCCTTGTAAATCACATCATTAGCATAAGCTATTTGGCACAGCCCAGCTTGTCAGGGATCAAGCACACTCTTACAGGCAGGACATTCCAAGGCTCAGACGTTGTCTTCCAAAAAGCCAGTCAGAGCTCACCATTCCTTTGGAATATGTAGGGTTTGAGCACTCAAGCCATTCTAAGTTAACCGTTGCATCAATGACATGATAAATATTGCATTTTTTATAGAAATACTAGTTAATGGTACATAATTGGACAAATAATACACTCCATAATAATAAATTGAAACACGAAATCATTTCGAAGACACTAAGCCAGGCAGGAAGAAATAAAAAATGATAATTTTGAAAGAAAGCAAGGCCCAATTTGAGTTTCATATTTACTTGCATCAACTCATTGGTAAAATATTAACCATGAAACACTGAAGGCTTTGAAGGGGAAGAGAAAAGAAAGGCATGGTGTGTGATGTTTCTGAAAAAAAATATTTAGTAATTGTGATAAACAGAAAAATGATTTTGCTCAGTCTATAAGGCACCCCCATTTGGCTACAGGAGTTAACAGTCTGCTTTTTGTATGGGTCCTAATCTCGAAACCAATCCAGGTAATATCACAGATGTGAGGTTTGCTTCTTCTTTGAACTTGGTGCAGTGTAGCTTTAAATGAACATTTTCACTTTTGCAGAATTTTCTTACGAGTAGATGTGGCACCATGAATGTGAGCTTAAATAAAACATCGGAAGACTTTGAAACCAGGATAAGTATTTTGTAACAGTGAGCCAGTTTTCTTCTTTTCCTTTTTTATGGTTCAGTAAGCCTCAGAAAACAATGGGATAAAACCAGAAAAAATTTAATGCTTAGCATATAATGAGATGCAATGTTAAGAATGGGTAGAATAAGATTTATTCCTCCATGTAACTAACTACTTAGGCATATTTGAGAATAACTGTTTCTTTGTGATTATTTAAATATGTATGATCAAATTATTCTAGTATTTTCCCTTTCATTTTACTTTCATTTTCCTCTGTATCTTACATGAATAATGAATGCTTAATTTTGACAACAGCAGGAGAAACTAAAAGAGTGCCCTAGAACTAACACGTGGAAAGAACAAAGTTTTTATTCACATACAACTATGTTAAAATGTATGCATTGTATATGTACTAATATACTAGAGATATAAATTTTCTCCTAACATTCAGGAACAATAGCAGAACTGAATTGATATGTATTATAGTGAAAACAAAACAAAACAAAACACACAATAAAACTGCCTTCACCTTCACCTTCACCACCAGATAGCTGAAAAATCCAAGTCAGTCTTTAGAGAGTTGCCTGTTGCCTCCCTTTGGGGTTGTAGAGTAAAAGCTGGGGGTGGCTGGAGCCAGGATTATGAGGCAACAGCCCTTGCTCCGTAGTTCATCTTGGCTGCTACAGAAATGCCTGTTGTGTCATCCCCATGCCCCTTTCGGAGACAGGTTAATCTGCCAAGTGATTCCAACCCTTTTCATACCAAAATTGGCTCCCAGGATCTTCTCTACATCCCTCTGGTTCCCGGTGCTTAGCTAATTAGTGGTCAGGTCCCAGTTGTCCCTTCTGCATGGGTAATTAGAAACCTGAGGTTCTGCTCCCCCTCTCTGATTACTAACCTTTCATCAGTGAGGATTCAGTCCAACCGTTCTGTGTCTGAATACAAAAGCCTTCATTTGTTCCTGCTCTCACCCGCTTTATGAAGATTTGCTTAATCTCATTTGCTGGAAATTAACACGGAGACTGACTCAGTGTCAGAATTTGGGAGCTTCGGAATTCTCAAAACACACAGAATTGTCCAAATACTCTTCGATGGAAAAATAAAATTTCATTTTGGTAGCAAAAGAAGATGGTAGTGAATTTTATTCTCAATAATTTCTCAGTTACATAGGAACATGACAACATGTGTCAAGCCTCAAATGTCTTAGCACTTATAAAATTTTTACTATGGCTATGTTGTATACAAAGATTGCTTTTATATCATAGGCCCTATAGAATACCATCTGAAATAGTGAACCTCAAAAAATCAATTTTTTCTTATTCATTGTGTAACTTGGTT